TTGATGAAATCAACGTTTTAATGCTTTACCGTTATACTGCCCTACAAAGGCTAAGATAAATTACCAGCTGAGGTAGGAGAACAAAGATCACAGCAGTTGGTTATGCTTGCACCAATCAGTGTCAGGGTATTGTTCCTCTTAAAATTGTCAATCATGTCAGGGAATTAGGGTGCCAAAAAATGTTGCAATGGAATGAACCCAAAATCGACACTCACTACGAATGCATTAAACAAAGAACTGTGTTCTCATTCACCCAGTTAAATAGTTCATGCCCTTCGTCGATAGCTGTACCCAATGGTAGATTTCTATTTCTCTTAAAGCAATTGAAGTACATTTTGCATATGGTATCAACTCACAGTTAACTTCATTATTACCCACGCACTTCCCGTAGGGAGTCTGTTTTGAAATTATATTCTCGTTCCTATTTTCCATTTTAACGTTCATTGGCAAATCGCAGTAATGTTCTTAACACGCACGCGCGAACTTGTCTACGTGTAAAAAGCCACATGTACTGGCACAGAAATTGACGTTTCGGCGACTAAAAGTAAGCACCTATCGATAATATATCAAAGCTACCTAATACTGATATAAACAATCATCTATGTAAGTCTCGTCCCACATTTGCGCGTGATCGAGAGCCAAGCAGAATATCGATAAGAACTTTGAAGTCCCTAAAGAACAAGAGCAGTGAGGTTAAGACAAATGGTGGTCATCTACAGTGTACTGTCAAAGTTAGAAAACAAAATAAGACGACTTTTTTGTTTAATTGTTGTGGAACAATTCGTCAGAGTATAAGAAAGATGAATTATCGGGCTGGTCGATATTTTAAAATGTTTTGTTGTAACAAACTGAAGTGTCTTGAGACCAATGTAGCAAATTACTGCAGATGTAAATTAAATGGAAACATGGAAAAAAAATCGTGGTCCTCTAATTGTTATTGGCCCTAACAAAACAAGAGCAGCTCCTTATAGCCAAGGTGGTGAGTTGATATTCGGTCAAAATGCAAGACAATAATGTGTTGCAATGAGTTTGTGCTCTTTGATTTACAATTTCACTCAAGGAATTAGTTCCACAAGTGATGAATTAAATAAGACTATATTTAACTCAATAGTTAATTAAAGTTAATCCTCTCGAAAATCAATATTATGCTGTTGAAGACAAAAAAATACTTCTCCTCTTAGTATTTATGCGATAAAGAATATGGTTTAAGATAAAACTTTCAGTTGAAGTCATCAAAAGTTCTGTAACCAGCTCAAGATGTCTGCTCTCTAGTATGACAAGTTAAGTTGGCAATACACAAACCAGTGATGCCGGAAATAAAACGAAACTTAATTTCCAAAACTTCATTTTATTGATGAAATTAAATTTCCAATTTCCCCTGATTTCCCTTTAATTTTTCTCCTTTTCTATCAGGAGTGTTATTCCCTCGGTTAATTTCCTACCTTCTTACTTTTATTTACTTCCCCGTCTACATGAATAAGCTACAAGCTTGCTCGAGATCCTATTTGAAGGATGTCTCCCTTTGGCCTCTTTTGTATTGAGCACTGCTCCCAGTCTGCATGAAAAATGACTTACGGCCGATGTTCACCCAGCGCGGCCCTTACCCTTGGATAAGAGGAGATATATTTTGTGTCAGAAAAACTTCTTTTATCAATAGGCTTTTGCAGAGATTATAAATTTAACACTTCCTCCTACTGTGAAGTAATTCATTGTAAACCGCGTGCTTCATAAACTAAGAATACGTAAATGAGTTATTTCCATAAATGCGATGAGAATTGATCGTCAATTATTTTTATTTCTGCTAGAGTATCGTTTCAGGTACTGCCAGGCATTTGTAAATATCTTAGTAGTTTGGGGAGCTAATTTGGAAATGAGAGAAAGGGTAGATTGGAAGAAAAATCACCAAACCAAATATTTAATTAACAACACAACGAAAATATTTCTCAAGTTTTATGATAAAGGTGTATCTATCCGTTCATGATACTTCGCAGGAATGTGCGAAAGATAGACAAGGAAAGTATTATCAAGGGCCTCACTCTAAACTGTATGGGAGCTCTTAGGGACATCAATAATTTATCAGTTTTTTAAAAGCATAAGTTGTTACTGACAGAAAGACTTGATGTCACCTTGCCTCAGTCTTTACAGGAATCATATTCTTGCAACAGCTGCATCGCCTCGCACGAAAAGAGCCTCAAATCAACTTTTCTATTGGTTTTCTTAAGAGTGAAACAGCTGTCAATCAAACTTGAAATGTGTTGAGTTTCAGTTTCATTCAATTGATGCTATAATCGAAATAGATCATTACGAAAAATGTTCAGTTTTTTTTTCCCTAATTTATCCCTACTTTAGAATAACGATTGAAAAAATTAAAAAAGGAGTTATATGTGACAGTCTTCGAGTGGTTGTCAAAACTATAATTTGGAGGTAAAACGTTTTTGGGGATTCTTTCACGTTCATGAGCTATCTCAGAAGATCCAAATCATTCGGCAAAAAGTGAGGTTTTCACCGGACAACATACGAGCAGGCTCTGTGAATAGGAATCATGACACATATCGTGGCAAGATCCTGCAAAGTTACAATGGTGCTTTTAGCGTGGGCTTCTTGGTAGCAAGCTTCTAAGGCTCGTCACGCACTCGTTCTAGTTCCACAAACGTTCATGGGAGGAAATGATTGCGTGACGAGGCTAGGAAAGCCTCGAGGACAATTCGTTTGCAAGTGAAGCCTTCAATGAAGAAGGATCAAACATAGGCAAAACCACAGAAGAATTGCGTAGGTGTGCAATGAAACGAATTAAGTGGCATTTGTTTTCTTTCCTAAATTGGTTAAATTTCCGCAAGTTTTGGCTCATCGAAATGTCTTGCATTCATTTTTGACCTAGAAGATGAGATGAAGAAATGACAAACGACTGTGTTTATTAAGGGAAATTACTAGTGGTAGAGGTTGAAAAAATTGAAAGCTGAGCAAAAATTTGAGCTGTTCTTTTACGGAGTGTGAAGCGGGTGCTTTATTTTTGTCCCTTATTTCGAAGACTATCAGGTAAGGGTTCATTGTCGAAAAAAATCATCGACTCTTCCTGTACTTCATTAACCACTATAAGATTTTAAAATCAAACCATGCTAAAGAATACATTGGATGTTTCTTAAGATCGTGAAGCAACAAAGAATTACAATGGAAGCCGCCTTTGGGCGACCCTGACAGCCGGAATGGCGGAATGACGGAATAGTGGAAAATAACCTTTACTCATAGAAGTTTCATAAGAAAACCAAAGGTTGAGGCTGGATGGTTAAAAGTAGCTCTTTTTCGGTCATTTTAAACACATGGT